ATAAAAAAGATGGATCTCCTACTTTAATATTTTTCCGTGTTTTGCTCCCATTTTAGCCATTTTCTGTAGTTACTTTTGTGGTTTCTCACAAACATATATTTATATGTAAGTTTTTATTGATAATTTGATAAAGTTTTGCCAAAGTAATGGGGATAAAATAAATATTCTTATCACTTCTTATTTTGTAAAATCTTTTGTTTTGTTTTAAACGATGTAATTTGTACTTTTTTTTAAACAAGTTTGTATATATAATCATTTCAAAAAATAAATTTTCATGGTCTTCTAAATTAAAAGAAAAAATTGAAACAGAGGAGTAACATACTTCGTATTCATCAGTATACTTCGCATAAACCTATATTATAAAAATTTAATATTTCAAAACTATAATTAAAATTAAAAGTATTGATATTAACCTTATATCACAATTCATAGCATTTCTATTGTAACTTATAGTCAAAGTTTTAAAATGTTAATCATTAAAAGTGCAATCAGAATGAACAAAATGAGCAGAAAGAGTATATTTTTTATAAAATTAAAAATAAATGAATATAATTAAGAAAAAAATGTATATATTCATTTAACTTTTAATATTTGGAGTATAAAAAATCTACTTAAATAAGGTTAGAACTTAGAACATTGAAGTTATACCAAAAACCAAACTTAGTATATATTTTTATTTTCAAAATAAGAATGGAATGAGTATCATATAATAACAATACTACTACCTTAGTCAAGTATCCATTCAATAATTTTCCATGATCTTCATTAGGAGTGTCTCTTAATTATGTCTTATTTATGTAATAATGACACTACAACTACCTTAATCAAATACGGAGTATTATTGTTACAATTATTACAATATTAGTTGCCTATAAGTCGGTTGCCTTATAACGATTCAATCTTTAAGCTCGGTCCTCCTCTCAAAAACATTATTGTCCCAGCTCTGTGCATTTGATTTCCTCTCTGACTTGTGAAAAGTCAGATCTCTTTTCGTGTACAATTGATTCACATGTTGCCTCCAATTATGCTCTCCCCCTCTCCAAATTGATTTCAATTTGTTTGAGGTTGATATTTCAATAATTTTTGTTGGTTTGTTTGTTTGTTTTTAATGATATTTGATAAATTAAAATATTATTGTCATTCTTTATTTTGTAGAACTTCTGGCGTAGTTTTTTAATATGTAAATCTCATTAATTATTTTCATACCAATTTTTAAATAAATTGACATTGAAAATGCAGAATTTTACCTCATAAATGATTTTACTTCGGTGCTCCACTGCTGCCATCCGACCATAATTTACCTAAATAGGACTAAAATATAATGACTTTCTCAATATAGGATCATATGTTTTTATTTTTCAATATAGGACCATTGGTCATTATCTATTAGTCATTATTCAACTAAATGTCCAATATCACTTGGAGATTATTCTTCTCACTAGTCATTATTAAGTCATATTTAGAGAATAAAAAAGTTTAAGTCCTACATTGGAAAATGACTTATGTTTTAGTGCTATTTAATGCAAATTTCACTTTTTTTTCTCTTTCCTTTTTGCATCGGTCAAGTTGAACCAAAACTTTTTTTTTCTTCCAAATTTCAAATCCACTAACTCCCTCTCTCTTCTATTTAAAAAACAATTTCCAACCAATTTCAAACACAATCGCTTCTTCATAATCTCAACTTTTATTATATTTTTTTACAAATTTTAAATTTTTACTCACACCATGAATCCAAAAAAACCCAATTTTCCATATTTTTACAATCCCAATGACCGTCCTCCCTTCAATCTCAATAATCCGAACACCGGGAATATGTTCGATAATTGTTATCGTCTGACTTCCGACGGATTTGAGTATTGGACTCCATCCCCGAACTTCTTCTCCGGTGGCTCTCAAGGTTTAGCGCTTCCAAACTTCATCCCGGCCGGAGACTCAACCTCATTACATGCCGGAGATGCAACCTCCGCATGACCAGGATACTCAGCCCGAAATGGCGTTCCTAGGCATGAAGTATGACGGTACGGACGAACATGATCTTGCCTGGATCGAGATGGGAATATGTTCAAGCCTAAATTTTTTAAATATTTCCTATATTTTTTTCATGTTTTTTCTTTCATGTATCTTTTTCTTAATTTATGTAATGCATGTGTGTACTTTTTCTTTATTTGAACATGGCAATTTTTGATTAATTGTATTTTTGTGCAATAATTTGTTATAATATAAAAAAGGAAAAAAATTAATAACAAAAAAATTAATTATGAAAAAATAATTTATAAAATTAATTACAAAAAAAATAATTATGGAGAAAAATAAGAATGAAAAAAAATTAATTTTATTATTTTATAAAATTTATAGTTTAATTTGAATAGAAATATGTAATTATTTACAAAGAAGATAAAAATGTAATCATTATAGTGGTCACGAGACATTACAAGTTTGAAGTGAGTGAGATTGTAAGAGCAATGGCAGTGGCGAGGCATTTGCCTCCCACGCCCTGCCACGTCATATATTTGCCTTGCTAAGCATGGCATACCCTTCCCGTGTCACTTGCTTTCCATGGCATATGCAAGGCACATTATTGCTTTTTTTTTTCTTTTTTTCTTTTTCTTGATTTGTTTTGTCAAATAGAAAGAAACTTTTTTGAAGGAATTATACCTAAAAATTGGTATATTTTGGTGTAAAAATAACTTTTGTTTGCGTATGTTTTTTTTCATGGTTCAATTGGTAAAATAAAATATTTTTTAACAATTGTTTTAAAAAACTTTGGATAAAATATATAATTTATACTCTTTATTTTCTTGTCAATTTGCAAATAATAACAATTTAAAAGAGATGATCTTTTACAAGTTGTTTGAAAGAGTATTTTTTGGGGACGATGGAGTAATTTTATACTCCATTCCGCCAATGCAACAACAATACTAATTTTTTTTAATTTAACTTTTCACCATTTCAAAAATTTTACAAAATAAGCAGCGATAAGAATAATTTATTTTATTAAATATACCATGAAAAAGGGAAGCACAAAAAATATTATAAAAAATCTAAAATAGTAACTACAATATTTTTGGGAACAGAGAGAGTATAAACAAAGTAGAATTATTTTTATAAAAATATTAAATAAAATAAATATTAATAATTAAATATATAAAAATGTAAAAAAGTGACAAAGATAATGACTTGCCACTGCAATGCATGCCAATCCACGCTCTTGCCACACGATGACTGAACTATTTTCTATTGGTTGAAATGTTCCACGTCAACATGTGGCATTCCATTTTTTGCCTTTCCATTGTTCGTGCTCTAAGAGCAATCAATTTTGATATGGAACAGGCAATGAGTCAATGACGAGACATTAGAGCAATGGCAATGGCAAGGAATATCCTCACCCACGCATGCCACATCACCAAATCGTGGAATGTCATTAGCATTCCTCAATGATTGCCATGGCACTTGCGAGGCACCCATCTCCCATTTCTTTTTTTTTCAATATTTTTTTAAAAAGAAATAAACTATTGTATTTTTTAAAAATAAAATAAACTCCATTTGTCCTGTTAGAGATTACTCCGTACAGTTGTAGCTCAGCTCTCGATCATTTTTGTTTACCCGTATGGTTTCATTGGTTATTTAATAAAATAAAATATTTTTATCACATCATGTTTAGTAAAACTTTTGAATTTTTTTTAAATACATACATTCTAATTTTTTTTATTCTTATACCAATTTTAAAATAAAATGATTTTTAAAAATATGATGTTTTACTTTATAATTTTATAATTGTAGTCTAATTTGAATAGAAGAAGTAAGTATTTTTGTAAAAGGAAGGTGTTGGCCGAGAAGTCCAGATCTGGAGAAGTCCGAGAGGTCCGGATCCGGAGAGGTGTAAAAGGAAGGTGTTGGCCGAGAAGTCCGGATCCGGAGAAGTCCGAATTCCGAGAGGTCCGAATCTCGAGAAGACTGAATCCTGAAGTTGACCGAATCCTATTCTAATTGGGATTGATCTTGAGTTATTTGTTTCCTAGTTTGATTATTGATTTGTTTCCTTGTAGGACTTGTATTCCTTGTCTAATTTGGAATTATCCTCTCCTATAAATAAAGGAGAAACCTCTTGTAATTACACGGGAAAAATTACCTTGATTGTAAATTGTTAAGAGAGAAATACAAGAGAATTTCCTCCCAAATAATTCTTTCATGGTATCAGAGCTGAAACCCTAAATTTTTTTCTTTGCCGCTGTAATTTCACTCCGCTGTTGCTGTGCCATTCGGTATGTCCGAGGAAGTAAGCATGCAGATTATTTCCAACAAAAAGAATGAGGAACGAGAAGAAGAGGAAGTTGGAGTGCATCGTCGATGCATCTCCCCGTATGATTTGTCCTCAAGCGACAATTCGGGTATGATCCTGACCCATGTCGTTCTGAAGGGGGATAATTACGATGAATGGTCCAAATCTCTGCGTTTGGCTCTTCGAGCACGCAAGAAGTTTGGATTTATTAATGGAACAATTGGGGTGCCTGATCCTGATTCGGGTGATTTTGACGATTGGTGGACAAACCATTCCTTGTTGGTCTCTTGGATTCAGAACACGATCGATCCAGCCTTGAGATCCAGCATATCTTTTGTGGAGAAGGCGTCAGATCTGTGGAGTGATTTGAAGGCTCGCTTCTCTGTAGTTAATGGACCAAGGGTTCAGCAGTTGAAGCGGGACTTAGCGGAATGCAAACAGAAGACTCTTTCCATAATGGAATATTATGGGAAGATGAAGAAACTGTGGGATGATCTTGCAGATTTAGAAAGGTTCCCAGTCTGCACGTGTAGGAATTGCACGTGCGACTTGCAGGAGAAGCTTGCGCAGATGCGTGAGAGGGAACATTCTCATCAATTTTTGATGGGTTTGAATGATACATTATATGGAACTTTGCGGTCAAATTTACTTGCCCAAGAAGTCATACCACCTGTAGCAAGAATATACAATATTCTCGTCCAAGATGAAACCGCACGGAACGGGATGCACAAAGGAGAAAGCAAAGAAGCAGGTGCGTCCGTGTTTGCCGTGAAGAACAAGATGGAGGTCAAGGAGGTTGTGTGCTCCCACTGTGGCAAAGGAGGACATGAGGTTGAGGCATGCTACAAACTGATCGGATACCTAGAGGGATGGATTTTCTGCGATCAGGCCGGAAGGGGAAGAGGGAACAATCGCGGAAGAGGGAACACCCGCGGTCCAGGAAGAGGAGCGGGACAGTCGACCGCTGGTGCTGGATGGTCAACCGTTACGGGCGGTCGAGGTGAGGTGCACGGGGTCCAGGGAGAAGGACAGTCTCCGCTGCCCAATTTTGAGGATTTGACGCCTGAATAGTGGAATGTTGTTCGTCATGCTCTTTCACTCTCTTCCACAGACACTCCTCAATAACTTTCAGGTATTCCTGTATCACCTCATTGGATAATTGATACTGGTGCGTCCAACCATATGACAGGTGACCTATCATTGTTATATGATGTGGTGGGAGTGTCCCCATGTGAAATTGGTTTGCCTGATGGAAAACGGGCTGTATCTGTTCAATCTGGAAATGTTGACTTAACAATGACTTTGACTTTGCAGAATGTGTTGTTTGTTCCAAGTTTGAACTGTCATTTGATTTCTGTGTCACAGCTGACAAAGGATATGAATTGTGAGACGAAGTTCACCAATGATTTGTGTATCTTACAAGACCTAAGGTTGAGGACAACGATTGGTGTGGGTAGACAAGAAGGATGACTATACTATTTAAAGGAGGAAAGGAGAATGGCGTGCAGTGCTACGAAGGCGAATTCTTTTGACCTTTGGCACAAGCGTCTAGGACATCCTTCTTCACATGTTTTATCCTTAGTTCATGTAGTTGGATCGAAAAAGAGTAGTCATAGTCATTGTGATGTCTGTTTACGTGCCAAACAAACTCGTGTTAATTTTCCCATTAGTTTTAATCACTCTATGAATAAATTTGATATGGTGCATTGTGATTTATGGGGTCCCTATCAGACGGCGAGTTTGGATGGATCTACGATGTTTTTGACTATTGTGGATGATTTTCTCGTGGTGTATGGGTGTACTTTCTTGATTCTAAGCGTACTGTAGGAAGTGTCTTCAAACAATTTTGTGCCATGATTGAATGCCAGTTTAAGAAGAAAATAAAGTGTGTTCGCAGTGATAATGGTACAAAATTTGAGCGCTTGAATGAATACTTCTAGGAAAAAGGAATTGTTCACGAGACATCTTGTGTGTCTACACCACAACAAAATGGTAGAGTGGAACGTAAACATCGCCATATTCTGAATGTGGGTCGAGCTCTGCGGTTTCAGGCCGGTCTTCCCATCAAATTCTAGGGACATTGTATACAAACTGCGGCCTATTTGATCAATCGGACACCCTTGTTGATGCTAGGGGGTGACGCCGTATGAGAAGCTTTATGGGAGGTCACCGCGCTGACTCACATTCGTGTTTTTGGTTGCAGATGTTATGTCCAAAATTTGAAGAGGGATGGAGACAAATTTGCACCCAGAAGTATTCCTGGAATATTTTTGGGTTATCCACAAGGGAAGAAGGGATGGCGCGTCTATTTTCCGGACACCGGAAAGATCAGTGTGTCCCGTGATGTTGCTTTCTGTGAAGACATTTTTCCCTTCTTGTTTTCCACAGGCGAAACACCCAAAGAGGATGCATTGAGAAACAACCCAACCATTGATTATTTTGAAGGTGCTGAAGAACTATCCACGGAGGACCATCTGGACCGTTCCTTGAGGAACGACCGATCGCTGGGAAATGGAGACGTAGAAGAGCTACAGACGGTCGACCCTGTGGACCGTACTGATGACCATGGTCGACCATCGGAGGGGCAGTATGACGGGTCTTCAGGAGATGAATCAATGGTCGACCGCGTCATGGAGGACGGTCGACCGTCCCCGAGGCTGAAACTTGATGATCCAGCACAACTACAGACGGTCGACCCCGTGAACCGTTCCATGGATGGCGGTTGACCGTCCACTTCCCAGCCAGCAGTGGAGACCCTGGGGCGTAGTCAACGGGAAAGACGGCCAAATGTGAGGCTTGCGGATTATGTTACACATGTCACTGGACCACATAGCGGAGAAAGATGCAGATATCCACTCTCCTCATATGTCACTTACGAGAAGTTTTCTGACAAACACAAATGTTTTCTCACGGCACGTGACGAGGAGGTGGAGCCCACGAGTTTCAAAAAGGTATACCAGGATGAACGATGGCGGAATGCCATGCGCGAGGAGATTGATGCACTGGAGGCTAATGGAACGTGGTCACTTGTCGCTCCTCCACGTCATAAAAAGCCCCATTGGCTGCAAGTGGGTGTATAAAATCAAGCGCAAGTTCGATGGCAGTGTGGAGAGATATAAGGCCAGATTGGTTATACTGGGTAATCATCAGGTTGAGGGACTTGACTACAAGGAAACATTTGCTCCTGTAGTCAAGTTAACTGCAGTACGGACTCTTCTAGCTGTTGCAGCTGCGAAGGGTTGGGAGTTGCATCAGATGGATTTGCACAATGCGTTCCTTCATGGAGATCTTGAGGATGAGGTGTACATGAGACTGCTACCAGGTTTTTTCAATTCTTCTAATGTAGTGTGCAAACTGAAGAAATCTCTGTATGGTTTGAAACAAGCTCCAAGGTGTTGGTTTGCCAAGTTGTCTGGAGCTTTGAAATGCTATGGGTTTGTCCAGTCTATTCCTGATTACTCCTTATTTTCTTTTGTTGGAAAGAAAGGAGTAATACATGTATTGGTTTATGTTGATGATTTAATTATTGCTGGAGATAATTCAGAGATGGTGAGCAAGTTCAAAGCATATCTCGGGGATTGTTTTCATATGAAGGACTTGGAGACACTAAAATATTTTCTTGGCATTGAGGTGGCGAGGAGTACGTCTGGGATCTTTCTCTGCCAACGGAAATACGCTTTGGATATTATTACTAAAGCCGGGTTGTTAGGTGCCAGGTCGTTAGGTGCACCCATGGCGCCAAATCATCATTTGGCTCGTTCCCAAGCTCCCGTTCTGACAGATCCAGAACCATATCGTCGTCTGGTAGGGCGATTAGTCTATTTGTCTGTTACACGACCGGAGCTTTCCTATGCAATGCACACTTTAGCACAATTTTTGAAGGAGCTAAGGGAGGATCAATGGTCTGCGGCACTTGGGGTGGTCCGTTATTTGAAAGGATGTCCTGGACAGGGCATCTTCCTCTCTGCAGACAATAGTCTTCAGCTCACAGGATGGTGTGATTCAGACTGGGCAGCATGTCCTTTGACACGGCGGTCGCTGACAGGCTGGTTTGTGCAACTTGGGGACTCACCTGTTTCGTGGAAGAAAAAGAAGCAGCCAACGGTGGCTCGTTCGTCTGCTGAAGCAGAGTATAGGGCTCTTGCTGTTCTTACTTGTGAGTTGAATTGGTGGTTGAAGAATTTGTTGCGGTGCCTAGGGGTTGAACATAAGAACCCTATGACTGTTCGTTGTGACAGCACCACGGCCCTTCACATTGCTGCTAACCCAGTTTTTCACGAACGCACAAAGCATATTGAGATTGATTGTCATTTTGTTCGTGATGAGCTTTTACGAGAAGAGATTCGTGCCCTTCATGTGCCTACTACGCATCAAATCGCAGATATTCATACGAAGGCACTAGGGAAGTCACGACTCGAGTTTCTTATTCCCAAGTTGGGCATTTCTTCATTACATGCTCCAACTTGAGAGGGGGGGTGTAAAAGGAAGGTGTTGTTCGAGAAGTCTGGATAAGGAGAAGTCCGGATCCGGAGAAGTCCGAGAGGTCCGGATCCGGAGAGGTGTAAAAGGAAGGTGTTGGCCGAGAAGTCCGGATCCGGAGAAATCCGAATTCCGAGAGGTCCGAATCTCAAGAAGACTGAATCCTGAAGATGACCGAATCCTATTCTAATTGGGATTGATCTTGAGTTATTTGTTTACTAGTTTGATTATTGATTTGTTTTCTTGTAGGACTTGTATTCCTTGTCTAATTTGGAATTATCTTCTCCTATAAATAAAGGAGAAACCCCTTGTAATTACACGGGAAAAATTGCCTTGATTGTAAATTGTAAAGAGAAAAATACAAGAGAATTTCCTCCCAAATAATTCTTTCAATTTTTATTAAAAAAATCATAAAAATAGATAAAATCAATTACTTGCCATTACAAGACATGCCACTCCACTCACTTGCCACACGCTGATTGGATTATTTTTTATTAGTTGAAATGTGACACATCAACGTGTGACATTCCATTTTTATACTTGCCATTGTTGATGCTCTTAGAGATGGTGAATATTTGGATTGAGCATTTTTTTCCATATAATTTTAGAAATAATGTTACCGTGCTTTGTTTTTATTTTTTCTTATTTTTTTCCTTCTTTGGGGTCAAAAGTGCACCAGACCGTACCATTTTAATTTGATGATTATCTGCCTGTACATGTTACACTTACACCAAAAAATATACCCCATTTGTACACCACAGGTTTGCACAAACATTTCGATGGTTTACACCGACACAAGTGTTGGTGCGTTAATAAAAATTCACACGGACACAAATGTTGGTGCATTTAAAAAAATTAGTTTTACACCAACGCAAAGTGTTGGTGCAAAACTACAGGGTACAAATTGGGGTATAAAACTTCGGGTACACATAGCATAATCCTTTCTTGAATTCGGGAGGGAGAAGTTCATTCATGCAATCTTTGTCCTCTCTCTCTCGTGTATAGTGCTGCCCCAAATGATTAATTTTACAGAGTAATCATTTTTTACGTCCCAAAGTTGTTGATCGTTTTGACTAAGTATTTATTTGGACGGAGAGTGTATTTTTCATTTTTATATCAATTTATAAATAAAAATATTTTTAAAAAATATTTCTTCCGTCCAACAATAAACTTTCTAGTTGCTATACGACATTTTGATAACTTATGTTTGTTTGCATATTTTCATCAATTATTTGATAAGATAAAATATTTCGTCACATCTTGTTTTGTTGAACTTCTGATGTGGTTTAGAATAATGTAATTTTTACTTTTTTATGATATATCAATTTGTAAATAAAGTAATTTTAAAAAAGATGGAATTTTACACATTATTCAAAATGAAAAGTTTATTGTTGGATGGGGGGTAATATTTTGCACGTTGTTCGAAGTGAGGCAAAATGTTTGGGACAGGGAAAGTTTTATGTATGTGGGAGCACTCAGGGAAAGACAACAAGGATATGGGATAAGAATCATCAATCTTACAAACTGCATATCGTAGTGCACGATATCATACCATGACATTAGGTTTCAATGGCAAGGACGTGAAGGAACCCCACCGTATTAATTTTTTTCGTATATACTCGTCATCCTAAATTAGTTGTCTGACTTCAAACAATGTACAAAATATCATCTATTTTAAAATTATTTTATTTATAAATTGGTATAACAATAAAAAGTAAAAATGATATAATTTAAAACTACATACATGAAATTTTAATAACTTTATCGTTCTAGTTTGACTTTTTTGTCTCTTTAAGCACAAATTCAATGCCGGAGTACAAAGTATTGTTTTAAATAAATACAAAACCTAATACAGAGTATTTCAAATGTATATTTTAAAAAATTAAATCAGGACAATAATTTTTAGGCGTGGAATATTCAAATATACTCCCTTTATCCAATATCTTTATTCTTGTTTACTATTACGACTTTTCGATAACATATGTTTGTAAAATTTTTGAAGCTGAAACTTGTATTTTTTATATCATAAAATTATTTTTAAAAAGGTGAGACTTTACACTTTATTTGAAGGTGAAAGAAAGAAATGAGACATAGGCAACAACTCAAATATAGATATTAAAAGTAACACATTTATTACATCCATTTATAGTCATGCATTTGAGAAGAGGATAGCAGCAGGTAGGAAATCACAACAGGACAAAGCTGATGAGACTATTTGTCTTCTCATGGAAATGTCGTGCGTGAATTCTTGATTTCATCACTATATATACACATTCATAGTTGCCGGAGTTGGGTGCATCGGAAGCTGTAGTAACCGGAAAATGGCCGCCCGGAGATTCACGTCGCTTCTCATTCCTTCATCCACCACTTCTTCATCTCTTCTCCGTCTCCTCTCCCGCGGTATTCTGTCCATTTCTGCTTGCAATTGTTTTTTATTTGCGTGTTTTCCGCTGCGGAATCGATCGGATTGTTCTTGTTGTGGTGGTGAATCGTGACGGGTTTTTGAATTGTGACGGAATCCGAGTTTTGCATGTTGTTGGTGTTGCTGCGATTAAGATTGGATTTCTGTGTTTTTTAGGGTTGTGAATTGTGATTCATACATTTTAGTTGATTATTGTAAGAAATCAATCTGTTCTGTTTAGGTGAGACATCCAATTTCTGTCGAAGATTTAGGAAATTTGGCACAGCTGCTGCCATTGAGGAGCCAATCAAGCCTCCTGTCTCTGTAGAGCACACACAACTCCTCATCAATGGACAGTTTGTTGATGCTGTTTCTGGTAAACTACTTCAATTCATCTGTATTGCTTGCTGCTCTGTATTTTCAATCATACTATCAACATGTTTTTAGGACTGATTGCAAAGAGCTGAATGTGTAAATAGGCAAAACTTTTCCTACCCTTGACCCTCGGACGGGTGAGGTGATTGCTCATGTTGCTGAAGGTGAAGGGGAAGATATTAACCGAGCTGTCTCTGCTGCTCGGAAGGCTTTTGATGAAGGACCTTGGCCGAAAATGACTGCTTATGTAAAACCACTTCTCAGTCTTCTTTATAGTATTGCTTACCATTTCTTCATTGGTTCGCTTGGATCAGGGAAAATACTAGGAAAGGAAAACATTTTCCCTGGAAAGTTGTTTTCTTGTATTTTTTTCCCCATGGAATGCCTTCATTGCCAATAGAGTTATAATAGTCATTTTTGACAAAATCTCTGATTTGGGTAAATCTTGGACTAAATCAAAACTACACATTAAGCATGGATTGCTTCTCAATCTCTATCAAGTGCATCAAAGGTCTAACTGAAGCAATTTCTCTACTTTTAACAACTCCTCTACTTTCTATTAGGGGTAGGGTCTGTGTACACAAACCCCCTCTCAAACCCTACTTTTGTGGGATTTTGCTGGGTTGTTGTCTCTATTTTTGCAAATATAAGCTTTATTTTTCCTCACATCTTCTTTCCCTCGGAATTCCCTACAGCTTCTTTCATGTTTTCTGTCCCTAGAATTTTCCATGTTCCAAATTACCACAGCCTGTATGTTTTATCAGCGGAAAATAATCTTGTGTAAGCTACTACTTGGATTTGCAAATGCAGGAAAGAGCAAAAATAATGCTACGATGTGCTGATCTGATTGAGAAACATAAAGATGAAATTGCAGCACTTGAGACTTGGGACAATGGAAAACCATTTCTACAATCTGCTACAACTGAAGTTCCAATGCTTGTACGCCTAATCCGCTATTATGCTGGTATGACAATTTAAAGTGAGAATATATTGGCATCTGTTTCATTATAAGCCGATGTTTTAAGATTTGATGGTTTCCGAGAATCTTTTTTTGGTGGCCTAAAACCATCTCAGCCAAAAACCATTCCCAAATGGACTTAAAATTTTTACATTATTTGCAGGATGGGCTGATAAAATTCATGGTATGACTGTCCCTGCTGACGGACCATACCATGTTCAGACTTTGCATGAGCCAATTGGTGTTGCCGGGCAAATTATCCCTTGGAACTTTCCTCTTCTCATGTTTGCTTGGAAGGTTGGGCCAGCATTAGCTTGCGGAAACACCATTGTTCTGAAGACAGCTGAAAAGACTCCATTGTCTGCTCTATTTGTTGCAAACCTATTCCATGAGGTAGTTTTTTTTTCTTACATCCATTTATATCTGTCTTTTTTGTTCTAATTTTTTAGGTCCCGCCTAGGGTGGTTGTGAGTTGCTAGTTTCTTTAACAGCTAAAACCGGATATAGGAAACCCGAAAAACTGGCTTCAGTTTTCAAAAGCGGCATGTATTATTATAATTATAAATGTTTCTTTATACTTAGGTTGCCTAACATCGCGTTATGCTCTATACTGCAGGCTGGACTACCCCCGGGTGTTCTTAATGTCGTGTCTGGATTTGGTACAACGGCTGGTGCTGCACTCTGCAGTCACATGGATGTGGACAAGGTCATTTGAATGCTTTCCCTTTAGTTGTCTTTCAATCTTATCAGGATATATAAAATTATAATTTACCTCCAAGCCTGCAAAACATAAATTTCAATCATAAGCAATGCCTACAATTTGACATGGATGAAATATAATTTACCTTCACGCCTGCAAAATACAGAGTATAATTTAACCAAATGCATTTTGTTTAATTTTCTGTGTGAAAACCAATTAGGGCCTACACTTTGACATGGAGGAAATACTTAACTACTTATTTTATTTTTTCTACTACTGCAGCTTGCTTTCACAGGTTCAACGGCAACGGGGAAGGTTGTTCTTGAATTAGCTGCTAGAAGCAATCTTAAACCTGTGACATTGGAACTTGGTGGAAAATCCCCTTTTATTGTTTGCGAGGATGCTGATGTGGATAATGCGGTTGAGCTAGCCCACACGGCTTTGTTTTTCAACCAGGTATTTCCTAATCCTTAATCGTCCGTTTGGATTTTGAGGGCTATGTTTTAATCCAGCATGTATCATTTCATGCTGGGGAAATGAAACAATTTGAAAAAGGAGTTTTGCAGTAAACTACTTTCAAGACCTATAATTAAATTAAAATTATATGGTATATTAATTAGACAAAAGAATATTTTGAAAATATTTTATAAAATAAATCTTATAAAATTATTTTTATATCTATATTTAATAACCATTTTATTTAATTTAGGGTCGAAGTTTGTCAGTTTTGACAACGAAAAGTCAAAACTGAACAAATACGGAGGTAGTGTATATATATAACGGTTCTTTATAAGAGGTTAGATGGGTTTTAGTCTTCTATTCCACAATATAATATCCGTAGTCCTCTATATATTTGAGAATTATTCCCAAATATCAT